AGATATTTCATGTGGGGACTCATAGCACAAGGTGTCAAATGTTCAGGTGAGAGATATTTCATGTGGGGACTTGTAGCACAGTGTCTCAAATGTTCAGATGAGATATTTCATGTGGGGACTCATAGCACAGGGTGTCAAATGTTCAGGTGAGATATTTCATGTGGGGACTCATAGCACAGGGTGTCAAATGCTGAGATGAGATATTTCATGTGGGGACTCATAGCACAGGGTGTCAAATGTTCAAGTGAGAGATATTTCATGTGGGGACTCATAGCACAAGGTATCAAATGTTCAGGTGAGAGATATTTCATGTGGGGACTCATAGCACAAGGTATCAAATGTTCAGGTGAGAGATATTTCATGTGGGGACTCATAGCACAGGGTGTCAAATGTTCAGGTGAGAGATATTTCATGTGGGGACTCATAGCACAAGGTATCAAATGTTCAGGTGAGAGATATTTAATTTATTCACAATGCTTACTTCTTGGGAGCTAGTCATGGCTATTTAGTCTGATGTGCACTCTTAATAAAATAATGTGTTTTTTTTGTGTAATTTTTTACTCATCTATTTAATTTATATCGAATTTCATCTACATGTGTCAGGTATATTAATATATAGTGCACATGCATTCTTTTCTTTTCACAGATTGTGCATTAAGTACTCATAAGCAGTGCTCTAAGTTGGTACCCCATGATTGTCAGCCAGATAAACGACTTATCAAACGAGTGTACAGTATTGATTTAACCACACTAGTCAAAGCACATAATACAACCAGGCCTATTGTAGTGGATAAATGTATCAAGGAAATTGAATCAAGAGGTGAGAAATAACATTAGTAGTAGTAGTATTTTATTTTGCTTATATATATTACTGCACTATTATTTGGGAAGTTTTTCATATTTCATGCTGTATTATATAATAAAGAACAGTAAGATTAATATGGTATATTATTTTTCTTGCCATATGTTGCTGAACTATTGTTTTTAGTAACTTTGATACAATTCAGGTTATATTATTATATGAGGGATGTTGAGATTAATACAGTACATTTAGTATTATTTGAGGAACATGAATATTGATTATTGTGATATTACAGGGTTATCGGCTGAAGGTTTATACAGGGTATCAGGATTCAGTGATGACATTGAAATGGTTAGACAGTCATTTGATAAAGGTAATCACATGTAGTACATTACATGAATCAATTTCTTGCTTTTATTGATTATGATTATTATAGATGTGTGTGTACAATGTATACATTTGTGGGTCAAATACAGTGCAACAGCCTTCTCCCATTTATAATTCATATACTGTAGAATATTTTATTGAAGCTGGAATTAATTTTGGGTGAAAAGACTTTTTGGGTGATTTGTATGGAATTTATTTTCACTGATTTTTGACAAGTTGAATGTAAAATATAGGAAAAATGGTATATTTGCTGGATTTTATTGACACTCATTCATTCCTTCAGCGAAAATAACAATTACAAAATTAATTTCAAGTGAAAATAAAGCATTTTTCAGTAGTTGTTGCCATTCCCACCCTATCATTACAGCATGCACTCCTGTACATTTGATTACTCTCTGACCTTCTGTTTGTTGATTTTTATATTTCTAAATTATTTGTTCTGTTCACTATACTATGATTTACACTTGCAGATGGTGAAAATGCTAGAATTGGTCCGTCCGATTATGATGACATAAATACAATAACAGGAGCTTTAAAACTTTATTTTAGACAACTTCCAATACCTGTTATTTCATATGAAGTCTATCTAGATTTCATAACTGCTGTGCGTAAGTATGGTTCTCATTATCACATGCATACGATGTAGGCACCTATAGTCAGTTGCACTTTTAGTCAATCGAGAGATTTATCAGTATTTTAGGGTCAGTATGTGTTATATTGGATAGAATTTGCATGTATGACCCAAATAACTGTGGGCTAGATTAATTTGCAAAGTCAATACTTTTGGATCTATGGCTAATAGGATCACACTAAAAAGCATTAATCTAGAAAGTCTCAATTCATGATCAAATATTGCAGAAAGAAATACTATATAATACTTTATTTTCGCTTTCAACTACTATAAAATCAGTTTCCATTAAAATGGTACAATGCAACAGAGGGGATGCGGCTTCTATTAGAGCATCTACACATATGAGAAATGGTGAATTTTCTGTTCTCAATTGTTCAACAAGAATGGGTTTGACTTCTTTTGAGGATGCGGCTTCTAATACAGATTTTAAACCCAGCAAATGTACCGTTTTTCCCATGTTTTACATTCAACTCATCAAAAATCAGCCAAAAGGTCTTTTCAGTGAAAATTAATTGCAGCTAAAATAAAGTATTTTACAGTATAAGTTATTGGACTAGACTCTCTATTGTAATTACATTGTGACTATACTTCCATTATACAAACATTTAAAGCAAACTTCAATGCGACCTTAATTTATAGTTATGTATATTATAAACTGTATTCGAAATAATATTGCAGTGGTTTAATTTTGTTTTAATTATAACTGTAGCTTGGATAGGCATTCAAAGTACTTACAATTAATCACCATGGAGGCCATTCATGGAGGGGAATAATTAACAAACAAACATATTTAACATCCGGGTACTTTTCAAAGCTATGACGTTTTAGTATCTGATCACATTCGTATACGCCATTGTACATAGCCGTTCATGCTGCCAAGCATTTAGTACTACTAGTATAAACTCAACTTTTATATGCACAACGCAGTCTGAAAACGGGGACTTATGTTTTGACCTCCGTGTGTGTGTGCATGCGTCTGTGCGTGCGTCCAGACCTGTATCATAGAAATGCCTGCACCAATCACAATCAAACTTCACACATACATCATACATGATATTATACATATGCACGTCAATTTGTTTCACGATCTGATTCAAGATGGCCGAATGGCGGCCATTTTTGTGCTAAAAATCATCAAAATCAAGCATTTCTCGGCTGTTTACAGATGGGTTTTGTTCAAACTTGGTATATACATTGGACATTATAGGACCTTGATGCACATCATTTTGTTTTTCAGATAAGATTCAAAATGGCCGACTGGTGGCCATTTTGTATTAATGAATGTGGTTCTTGTGCCATATCTCTGACTTGCTTTCACTGATTATGTTCAAATTTTAAATATTCATTATACATCATGTCATAGATATACAGATATATTGGTTTGACAATCCTATTAAAAATGGTCGAATGGTGGCCTTTTTTGTGCTAAACAATCATCAAATATCAAGCATTTCTGGCATGTATGGATGGATTTTGTTCAAACTTGGTACATACATTAGACATTACGGGTTCCTGATGCACATCATTTATTTTTCAGATCGGATTCAAAATGGCTGTCTGGCGGCCATTTTGTTTTAATGAATGGGCTTCTAGACCCATATCTCTGACTTGTTTTGAATGATAATATTTTCAAATTTTAAATATTCATTATACATCATGTCATAGATAAACAGATATATTGGTTTGACTATATCCTATTTAAAATGGCCGAATTGTGGTCATTTTTGTGCTAAAAAATCATCAAATATCAGGCATTTATGGGTGGATTTCGTACATACATTAAACATTACGGGTTCCTGATGCTCGTCATTTTTAGAACTTGGGTTAGAACATTATGTGTTTGACCCACAGTATTCTGACAGTGGGAGCCCAATTGTGTTAAAATACCCTACTTCCCTGATTGTAAGCCCCTCCTGAGTATGAAGCCCATCCTTCATCCCAGGCATTTATCGAGTTCAGGGCATTCAGAGTGTTTTTTACTGGACGTGATTGGTACGGTAGTTTGGTTTGTGATTTTATAAGAAAACTTGCAGAGTGCATAGTGAATGTACATAACGTGGTTTGCATCCTTTCTATTCTGTCATTTACTCGCAGTTACTATTAATCGTCGTTACTTTTCGGATATTGCGAGTCGACAATCGACAGATTGTATTCTAACATTGCAGTAGTCACTTCCGCATTGCGTTAAAAAAATTGTCAATAATCAGAAAATGTCGTCATTACGACAGATCATTTTGATTGGTTAAAGAAAAACATGACCTGTTAGGTCAAAGGAAGTCATTTCAGGTTAAATCACGCTGAAAAACTTCATTGTGAAAATTGCTTTGCGTTGAGAGTTTGCCTACGATCGAAAACATACCAAAACGAAGATAATAATAAATGCCTTTGACTGTTTTCCCACAGACTGTATGTAAATCGAATTGTAATAAAATGTATGTGTTTTTTATGAACATGTTTGTTTCTTCATTGTAAAAGTGTCTGGGAAATCAATGACACATTTTTTCAAAAAGAAGTATTATTTTCCTGATATTTTCCCGGTATGGTGAACGAATTTTTTGCAGATAATTTTTCGTTGTTACCACGATGTTTACAGTGTTTAACCCTAAAACAAAATCATCTTTTCTGAGGTGGTCCTCGAGTATAAGCCCATCCCTTACTTTTCCCTTACGTGTTCATGGGCTTATGATCAGGGAAGTACGGTATACTGTGAAGATTCAATTCAGTCCAGTGTGAGTGATGAGAGTATATCGTCGACGATGCCCCTTGTTCGAATGATAGTTTTATTTCAAATTACGAGGAAGTCTGTGAACAATCTGCTTGGTGTTCCTGTGACAATTGCCCCATTGATTTGCCAGTGCAGCCCCGTGAATACATGGACGAAAATTTTTCCACCACCACCCTACGAACTCAAGATTGCATACTCCAGCATCCAGACTTTGAAATAATTTGTGCGCATAGAGCAGTAATGGAAATAGCATTTATTGTACAGTTGGACAAAAAATAAAATAAAATGCCTGTCTCAATCATTCGCACATCCATAATATTTGCATGTTGATACACTTGTAAGTATCATTAACGTAAAAGTCGAAACTCTCAAGGCTGGAAGTCAATTCATCAATCCAGTCAACTATGACTGCCCAAGTTATTTATATATAATTAGATACTATTTCGTCATCATGCTTTGTTGCCTTTCCTGTTTATACCTCATGAGGGCGTTTTTTTATGGCAAGATGGTGCAAACGGAAGTCCTTCGCAGGTTTATGGATTCTCATATTTAAATCATAATTTTTTTTTCAAATTTATAATCAATATACATAACTTAATAAATACAAACACCAAATTAGGCTCTATTTAGTTCCCCTTTAATGCTGACTGTATTGAGTTTTAAGGAATTTATATTCATATTTATAGAATGTACATACTGTATTAAGGCTGTTATTTTTTTTATAGAAAATCAAACTACGGAAGAAAAGTTAGAACTAATGCATAAAGCTGTACATAAATTACAAGAGTTAAAGCCTGCACACTATCAGACGTTAAAGTATATGGTGAACCATCTACACAGGTGAGTATAGTGTAGTTTATTCAGGTGTTCAGTATATGTAGTGTTCAGTTTACATAGGTGTTCAGTATATGCAAGTGCTCATTATATGCAAGTGTTCGGTTTACATAGCTGCTCAGTATATTAAGGTGTTGAGTTTACATAGGTGTTCAGTATATGCAGGTGCTCAGTTTACATAAGTGTTCAGTATATGTAGGTGTTTGGTTTACATAGCTGCTCAGTTTACATAGGTGTTCAGTTTATGCAGGTGTTTGGTTTACATAGGTGTTCAGTATATGTAGGTGTTCGGTTTACATAGCTGCTCAGTTTACATAGGTGTTTAGTATATGCAGGTGTTCGGTTTACATAGCTGCTCAGTATATTAAGGTGTTCAGTTTACATAGGTGTTCAGTATATGCAGGTGTTTAGTTTACATAGTAGTGCTCAGTATACAGAGGTTCTCAGTTTATTCTCATTTCAATTTGTCACCAAATTAATATTTAAATCTGATTTGACTCTAGATCCAACTTGCTTGCTTCTAACTATGACACATATGACTACATGTATGCGTGTAATCTCGATCTGGAGGTGTATAACCAATGAAAACACCTCTTACTTATACAATCCTTCTGTACATGCAGTCTGTAACACAGTTCATGATTTATTGTTCAAGATTTTAACACTGGTTTCTTCAGATTTTAATCAAGTCAACCAAGCAACAATTATGTTAGAAAGCAAACAGTACCGGTAACCAAGCCTACATCAGATTGTCTCTAAAGACTTTTGTTTTTACTTGTTTCCAGGGTAACTGAACATCGCTCTAAAAATTTGATGGGGTCTGAGAACCTTGGCGTTGTGTTTGGACCAACATTGCTTCGATCACCAGAAGTGGAATCGTTGGAAAGTCTGACAAACATGAAATTCCAGCAACATGTGGTTGAGCTCCTAATTGCCAACAATAATGTTTTATTAGATTTGTAAATAAAATCATTTTTAATCTAAATAATCAATTTATATATCTGTTAATCTAAGGAATACTGTAATAAGAAAATATGTCACTTAGCGAGATTGATAATGTTTCTTGCACTAGATTCTGTGAGATCATTATCCTCACAGTATTAGACAGTGCTTTGTTGTCTCTCGTCATATGGCGCTTTGGAACTTGGTACCACACACTACTTGTACGATAAAACTTGGTACCATACACTACTTGTGTGATAAAACTTGGTACCATACACTACTTGTATGATAAAACTTGGTACCATACACTACTTGTACGATAACATCTTTGGGTACGTCACTAACGCCAGACTTTGTCAAACATGGTTCACATAACTATCAATAGTTCTAGTGTGTTGACACTTAATAAATTACAGAATTATTTTTTTAGACTAATGTATATTTCTGTCAATACTTAAAAATTACTTGTGAACATTTAACTCCATTAATTGCTATGGTTTCCCTCCTCATCAGTCACAACATTGTTATAATTGCCAATCCGCATGATTTGGATGTAAACAAAAACTTGATCATCACAAATCGACTCAGGTAATGGAACACAAGACTGATAAAATTAAACCAATTAAACACTGTTATGTTGAATATGTCATACTACTTAATGTCACTTTGTTTTGCTCTCTCTCTTTGGTATACAACAAGTGTATCAATAATATAATAAATATGGTACTATGTGAAACCAGAAATGTTTATATCTTATATTTACATTGTAAAGTAACACAGATGTAAAATGGCATAAATATATAGCAAAGTAATTGAGATTATGACGATATTTGAGAGTTTCATTGTAACATGGTATTCTTGTCAGAGTATAAAATCCTACATTTGATTCAGTCTTAGTCATAGGTGAATGGATAATAATGACAGTCCTTTTAATATCTATCTGTCACACCAATTGTTGACAGATGAATGTCTGATTTGAATTACAGTTTGGAGCCATTTGATTCATACACGCACCAGTTACTGTAAGTGAACATAATATACATACCATATACCAGAAACCCTCTATTGTCTTTTGTGATCTTAATTATTGTAGAAATATTAAATTTTTAATTGTATATAATGTACTAGTCACAAAAATAGAGATGATATCTGTTGTGAAATCAACAACTGCTAGATATCTTCATTCTCACAGATGTTTGTATTCAAGATATTGACAGTTTTTATTACAATGTATTGACATGTACACCAACTATAAGATTTTACTGAAATCTTCACACTGCCCTCACATGCCTTGTACATCATTCAAATCTAATTTTTTAGTCCCCATTCGGACGCAGTCCGAAAACGGGGACTTATGTTTTGACCTCCGTGCGTCCGGACCTGTATCTTAGAAATGCCTGGACCAATCGCAATCAAACTTCGCACATACATCATATATGATATTATACATATGCACGTCAATTTGTTTCACGTTCTGATTCAAGATGGTCGAATGGCGGCCATTTTTGTGCTAAAAATCATCAAAATCAAGCATTTCTCGGATATTAACAGATGGATTTTGTTCAAACTTAGTATATACATTAGACATTATAAGACCTTGATGCACATCATTTTGTTTTATGATCTGATACAAGATGGCCGAATGGCGGCCATTTTTGTGCTGAAAACTCCTCAAAATCAAGCATTTCTCAGCTGTTTACAAATGAATTTTGTTCAAACTCGATATATACATTAGACGTTATGGGA